GCAGATGAGGAAAGAATACGTACCACATTGACTTGTACGAATTGCGTTCCCATCGAAAAGGTGGCTCAACGACGCCCGATCCTCCTAGAAACGGTGCGAAGGACCAGACCATGGATCCTTCCGTAGAGGAAAAGAGGTGAGCGTCCTTGGGGCGTCTAGCCAGGAGAGATGACAGTTGTGATGAACGATGTCGTGAGGCAGAAGTTGTGGGGTTGAACATGATGTAGTGGAGTGACACCGACACGAATGTCTGCGACAAGTTTTGATCAACGTTGACTGTGACATCGACAGACAATTGCAACCTTGCACGATGTCTAGTTGCCAGGTGAGTTCTCCCTACCCTGCCTTCTTACTTTCGTTATGATGTTCACTTTATTACACAGATAACCCCTTGATCTTTGCTGAAAAGTCCTTGCAAGGAACGGCCCATATTCCAGGTTCAATATCACAATCCCAAGACCACTCACTACCTTGCTTTCACCGCCTCTACGTTCTAGCAGCCGAAATCTCAACGTCCACGTTTTAATTTTGGGCCTTGCCGTCATCACCCGCCCGCCCACGTTCGACCTTCGAACCTCCAGGCACTTCAAGTTCTTCGTAATGGCGCTGTGATGACCTTGATAGGTAAGCACTTTACCTCCTCGAATAGGTCTAGTTTTCATCTTCCTTCTTGCAGTACCGACGTAAAATCGCGTCAGACAGACGACTATGGGCCGGAACTCCGCAGCCAATTGCCCCTCCAACAACGAATTTGGCCCATTCTTGACACGCCGTGCCTATCATATCTCCCAGGAGCAAGGACCTTAGGCGGACGGGCTTGAACGTAGTACAAAAGGAGCCCCTCACATGGAGGTTTATGGTAGGCCTGGGTTCGCCTCGAGGTGGTTCAGGCGGTTCTTTCGGTCGCATACACGCCCTTTCTCTGAATGTCAAGTTGGAGGCGGATGGTACGTTAAAGCGTACTGGCAAGTTGCAAAACACTTGTTAAAGGAGACGTCTCGTGACCTCATTGTTTACGCGTACGCTTTATTTGTTCACTCTCTTTTCTCTTTTCTATTGCTCGTTTTACTTCCGTTATTTGCTAGTCTTTGTGACTTCTTTACCAGTCTTTGTGCAAGCCACAAATCCCCATCCTTTAAATACGAAAACTTTATTTCTTATCACCTCAGTCGTCATAACACTTCGTGTCTGACTCTGAGGTGAGTTTACTTTACATATTTTACTTTACTATTACTGACAACTACCTGTACTTAGTTCCGTGCGTTTACAGGTAGTTACCAAATACAGTCGTCATAACACTTCGTGTCTGACTCTGAGTTCCGTGCGTTTACAACACTGACCCATATACTCTATCTACCAGCAGCATATCGAATGGACACATCACTCCTAATAACGACAGCGCATCAACATCAGCCCAGAAAATAACCCCCCATCCGGATTTTCATGAAACACACTCGGACCCATGATTCACCCATCCATAACAACCGACTGCACCAACCGCTCTTTCGCCAGTAACTTATTACCCTACTCAGCCTCATCTGGTCTCGGATCTACATCTCCAATCCGGAAACTGCGGGGGGAGCAATTCGGTGCTCCCTCCCGTGGAAAAACGGTTTCTTCAGACCATCCGACCAGTCGATCTCACGAGCTGTATTCACATCGACAATCACAACACCTTGCGGCGCTTCCCCGGAACTTTCTTGTACAACAGTCGGTCGTGTTTGATCATCTTGACCTTGCCCATCACCGTGCCCATCCATGACGGGGGTACCGCTACGGTACTGCTCCATACACGGGGCTGGATAGTGCAGTGCGTTACCTCTCTATCCCTTCTGACTCTTCTTCAGCTAATTGACTGCAGCTGTAGACTACGACAAGTTTCACCTACACAAGAGGCTCCCTTAGGTTGCGAAAGTCTGAATGGCCGGAAGATGCTTGCTTGCCCTCTGCCGACTCTTCTTAGTAGTGGGCCTTCCTCTTCATCTGTCCGCATTTCCGATGGTTCAAAGTACTGCTGGCATGTGGCCCCAGGTACGTTAAGCATTTAAAACTTTTGAAGAGATGGTTAGCTAATAAGTCATCGACTAGGTCTCTGTGCTAGACTCTCGACGTCCTTACTCGCCATGTGCATGCGTGAAGTGCCCCGGGTTGCCTGCGTGAACCTCCACCATCTCCTTCAAGTCAAACACCAAGTTTCCAGCGACTTCATAGCAGATCGCAAAGAGCAGATGGCGTCGTCCTCCCGGTTATCCCGAGAGACTTGCAGCCATATCTCGCTTCTCATTCGTCCCATATGCTCTCGTTCATTTCGGCGACGTAGGGGAGGATTGGTGGGAGCGTTAGTAGGAAGCCGTTGGGAGGAAAAAAAGCCCTGTTGCGTTGTGACGTCTGGGTCTTCTTCATTCGCCGTTAATTCCTACTGAAATCAGACGTACGCAGCGGTACCTCCAGGAGCGGCGATTCCGGGCCACTATACTCTTCCACCTGCAGCTATGCTACATACATCGAGCCTACATTCGCCGCAGTCGGTATTCCTGAGTAATATCTTTACGACTCGAAGTATTCATCACAACTCATACAGGGAAGGGAAACCCAACTACATGTCTTGTTATCCAACCAAGATGACTGGAATACGGCTGACTTCCAATGTGCCAACATTATGTCCAAGCTATTCTTCCGAGCTCATAGACCGTTCTTCCTCCTTGGTGCCAAGGAGTGAGATTCATTCTAGAGAGTGTCACCATCCATGAAGGTGGTTGTTCGAGCTGGTCACAGGTAGGACAAGGGAAGAGAAAGGAACGAGCCCTTGCCCGTCTTGTGGGAAAGAATCGAAGCGGGCATGACGAATGAGAACGAGATGAACTTTGTGGGTCTGTATGCCGGTGTCAGGAACGTCTTTTGGAAAAAAGAGAAGGGTGAAAAGGACGCACGTATCTATGCTTCATCAGACGATCCGTACGCATCCTGGTCGAAGGACTCACTTCCTCCCCTTCCACCGCGACGTTCCCTTCAAATACACTGTGTCTTCTGGGTTTCACGAATGGGCCACAACGAGGAAGAGGGCATGATGACGACAGACGGGGGAAGTTCAGATCCTTTGTTGTTTACTTGGTACACATAGGCGCCGCGGCGGCTGGAGGATCTTGAAACTTTTGCTTATGAAAGGTCGAAGATCTTGCCATTGACGATGCGATAACACTTCCGTGGGTCGGAGAGTTGAAGGTTGAGCGTCCTGTTCGGAATGAATTTCGGTGGCAAGTCTTCATTGCGGAATACTGCAATGAGGTCTAGTTGCGCGAGCCGTAAGCACAAGCAGATCGAGAAAGACCCAAATCACGTGCTGCTGCTTCATTCACTGATGACTCCAAGCTTTACCTTGCTGCGGCGATACTTAGGAAGACTACCGCAACGGACATCACCTTCCAATAACGCAAAGGGGAACGGAAGAGGCAGGTCAAAATACTCGTCCAGCAGGACGCGTAGCTTTCATACGTCGGCAGGTTTGCAGGATTATCGGCAATAGTACCCTACCGAACTCATTGGCGTCCTGCAGTTTCCCGACACTCCGGAATCAATAGACCACCGCCTGGTACTGGGTGCTTTTCGTTCCTCCATTTCCGCTACCATCGCTCTAATTGTGTAGGGCACGTTCGCAGCATAAAAGTCCATTTTAAGGACTCAAAAGGAAATTTACTGAAAACGGTAGAGGCCAACGAAGGTGATGATATCCTCGCCATAGCTCATGAGTATGATATCGATCTTGAAGGTGCGTGGTCGATCTCAGAACCACATCGTAACTCATTTTCCATCCGTGATCCCCATTCAACAACCTACGCCTTCCCTCAGGAGCTTGCGAAGGCTCGGTAGCTTGTTCAACTTGTCATGTCATCCTACCACCAGAGTACTATGACCTCCTTCCCGAACCAGAAGACAACGAGAACGACATGCTTGACATGGCGTTCGGCCTCACGGATACCAGCCGATTAGGATGTCAGGTTAAGCTTACACGAGAGCTTGACGGACTTACTGCGACGTTACCCTCTGCCACGCGGAATATGTTTGTCGACGGTACGTAGATCGCTTCCTCCAGCAGAGTGGTAACTTCTTCCCTCTGCTATCTATGGAAGCTGCTGATAATCCAATCTCCATCCTTAGGGAAGAAGGTATCTCACTGACAGATTCCATTATCTCTTGTGTTATTATTTATCTGCCCGGAGAATGGTTCAATTTGGGCAAGCAGTCGAAAGTTGGTAAAGCATCTTTTTTCGCCCACTGACTCCTGCTGAAGGCTGCGTTGAGGAATGTGACTTTCTTCATGATGAGTTGCTTATCGAAAGTTGTTACAGTCTTGATAATAGATATGGAATCCGTCAGGGTGCAGGGTGATCCTCAGTAAAAACGAAAGTCAGGTCAAGTCATCTACCTCTCACAAGAAGGTCATGTGAAGTCACGTTGGTAAATGCAAAGTCATGTGGTGCTCAGTTATGTATCTGCAAAGTTTTCACGGCCTAACTGAAGTCGAGGAATAGTCAGTTACAAGTCATGTTGTAGTCTAATCCTGGTCATCCAAATTTCTATCATTTGTATTGCCTTTGTCCTCAGTCAACAAGACAATTTGTTGAAGTCTGTTGAAACTCTGACATCAGGTGATCATGTTGTCACTGCGAAAATTCCTTGTTCTTCCCAAGTTCTTCCATGTTCTTCCTTCCCACCACACCCGTGCAAGCTCTGATTCATAAGTCGACGAACAGCCTTCCCGCAATGAACGCCTTCTCCCTCCCTCGACCAGCGGCCTCCTCTCGCGACAAAGGGTCTCCTCCCTAGGTAGAGATGACGAAAGGCCTCTTCCCTCCCTCAACCAATGGCCTCCTTTCTCTTCCTCCTTCAGCAGACGATCTCCTCCCTCAACGAATGGTCTCCCCTTTGATGATCGGTCTCCGCCCTCAACAACTGGTATCCCCTCAACAAATGGTTTCTGAGATCTAAGCTCAACGAACTGTCTCCGCCCTCGACGACCTGTCTCCTCCCTCTATGACCTCTCTCTTCCTTCGACGACCTATTTCCGCTTTCGACAAACTGTCTCCTCCATCGACGACTTGTTTTCGCCTTCGACGAACTGTCTCCTCCATCAACGATGTGTGCCTCCTCCCTCACTCAATGGTCTCCTGCTGACTCACTCAATAGCCTCCTCCCTCCTTTGATGAATGTCTTTTGGCTTCCCCCCCCTATTATGATGAATGGTCTTGGCCTTCCCCCTACAGTCTCATCCCTCCTTCGACAAATGATCCCCTCTCAAGAATGACCTCTTCTTTTCATACGAAGATGCAGCTTAATTAGGAGATGAGAATTTGGACTTGAGGTGGTGCTAGAGGTGTATATAGAGCACAGTCAGTAGGCTTGGAAAATATATGATTTGTTCCATGATTCCGATACTGTTACCTGAGGTTGTGATGAGAGATACATGACTAACACACATCAATCAAATGTCCTGAGCATGACGGGAAAGAGACTATTATATGACTGTAGCATGACTGTGTTCTGGCTTTTATTTGACTATGGAAGGACTATGAGGTGACTACATGACTACCGAATGACTGTAACCGACAGATGGTGGGCATCAGCCACACGACTTGACACGACTTGGCGAAGTCAACTTGAAGTCAAAATTTTGTAAAAAAGACTGCTTTTAGTCATGTCATGCATTTTCGTGTAGTAGCGTGACTACCATATGACTGAGACACGACGAATCATTTTTACTGAGGGTGATCCCCGACGCAAAGTTACCTAAGTAACTGCAAGGGTCAGTTTTGGCTCTTGGGATCTGGCAATTTTCAGCTCTAATTTGGTTGATCACGCTACCGAATGGATCTGTATAAAGAGGCATAGTCCTTGTTCATCGAGAGTTTTTGCGTGCCTACGTCTCCTTCCCAAGATTCCCCCTCCCACCTCAGGCTTGACGCAAGATGCTGCAAGAGACGCTATCGTCCTCCGATATACAGGGTCTTAGAGATTCTCGTCCAGTACGTCTTCAAAGCTGCGTTCTACTAAGAATGGTTGACTCCATGGTTTGCGGTTTAGCTCCTTCCCATTGTAGACTTGACAGCGAACAACGCTGGCGAACCATTCATAAAACCCCTACAAATTCCTTCCATCACGTTGTCCTCCGATGGTTCTCTTGCATCTTGGCGTCTTAGCTCAAAACACCCGGAAGGCAGCCATTACGTTCATCACCTCTAGCTGAGCCATAACTCTCGCCCCTTATCATCATCGATGACGCCGACCATGATAATGAGTCAAACACCCTCAGACTCTCCAAGCCAGAGGTGATCGCATTACCTCAACTCCCTGTGAAAACATTTGTCCTGAGACTCAAGTCTTCCGAGGGCATCATGCCTATCCCTGATCATCGCCTTACGATAGCCCGGGACGCTTCACCAAACTCAACCTTGTCGCCGTTGGATATGTTGCGTCATCGGGAGAAACACGGATTAAAGCGTCCGCGGAGCGCTCACTCTTCCCCAAACGTCTATAATTCTTCTCCCCTGCAGGACTTCTCTGAATCCGCTACTGACGGTAGCGTCCGTCGTCGCATGACCTCCTCTGGCCCCTCCTCATGTCGACCTCACTCCTCTTACATAGATCCAACCGCTAGCAGTAATGGGCCACCTCATCTCCCGGGCTCCGAACCACATTCACTTCCTCCCTTACTGACAGAGAATTCGTGGTACATTGCCTCCCCTTACGACGTTACACCTCATTTTACTAGATTAGGCCTCTCTTCCTCGGGTGTGGTCCTCCCAATTTCCGCAAAGGTGCATTGTTCCAGCAAACCCTCAACCTTACCCCTTTATTCTTCCCCATCCTCCAGCACTCTGAAGCCTCGATCAACGATACCAAACAGACTTGTCGGAAGCGCTGGATCAACTCCTTCGAACTCTGTCATCCATTTGACGAGCAGCACACCAAGCCTAACTCTGTCGTCAAGCAATGAGTCGGTCACTGACAGTGGCCCACCGACACCCAGCCCCGCGAGTATGACAGATCTTTCGGCACCCAGCTCTGCGAGCACGACAGATGTTTCATCACATACATCAGATCATCAAGCACGACGAAAGTTCTCATTCTCCCGCATGCAGAAGAACTCTTTGCGGCATGTTAAGAGCCTCCGCTTCAAGTCTACACGAATCCTTATCCATCCTTTGAAAGGGAGATAGTTCTGTTGGAATTTCGGGAGCTGTGCGAGCATGCGCAATGTGCCCGATCTTTGTATTTCAGTTGTATTTCAGGTCCAATCCTTCCATTGATTGTTTTCGTGCATCCTTAGGGGTGTTTTGCATTTATCCCCTTATATTTCGTAGTCTACAGTATATATAGGAGAACTTGTATTGTAGTTACCCATCTGTTTGCCTCTGGACCCCACAGAGACAACCAGAATATTATTCCCTTTCTTGTCTTGATCACGCGAAGAGTGTACACTTGCTGATTTGATTTCAACAAGTTCTTGCTGGTAGCCCACATGAACCCTTTGTTCTATCGCAGGCTGTGGACTCTACCACTCCTCCTAATAAGATGAGTTTCCTCGACGTGGAGGAGTTGGCAATTCAAAATGAGCCACAGTCTGCCCCCAGGCCAAGGGGTACACAGAAAAAAATCCCCATACACAGGGTTGTTTTATTTCAATAAGGACTCTTAGACACCACCCCCCTCCCCTAGCCTTCCTAAAAAGGAAATAAATCATGTGTTTAAAAACAAATACAACAAGTATCTACAGTTGACATTCTCACAATGCATAACGCTGGTCCCCTACTTTTTCTATGCATTGTGACATTCTATGCAAGGTAAGATCTGTCACAGAGCATGACTATCCGTGACCTCTGCCAAAAATGTCACACTTCCAAAGTCACCAAGCAGTTGACATGGTATTGGCATTCATGTGAGTGAGTTTGCTTGAACAACGTGGCCTGTACCTTTCTGTTTCTTCAGATCCCTTTGCCAAAAGCTGCAAAAATGGACCCCAAATACACAATTTTGGGCAAGGGTCTGCACGTGACCTGCTTAAAATGGAAGCTCTGTGTGAATTTCATGTGTTGAAAAGTTTTCGAGGGTGTATTTGTGGCAAACAGGACATAATAGGGTAGATTTTTACCTCAAAAAAATCAGGTACAGTGAGGTGAACAGGTAAATACACTGGGAACCTGTAGATATAGTCATGCATAACCTCCAAATATGTTATGCATTATTCGATACAAGGTTTCATGCATAAATCCCTGCATACCAAGTTGGTCCCCAGAAAATTTCATGCATTATAAGATTTATGCATTACGAGTATATGCATTGTGAGCATGTCAACTGTACACCCTACGCTGATGCTTGCGTGTAGAGACCCTACCTCCAGCATTCGCCTTGCAGTCATCATCGCAAAACCACCCTCCAGCGGGTCTTTCAACGAGACCACGACAAGTTAAGTGATACTGTAATTATATTAGTATTTATTCTGTATTTTTTGGAATAAAAGCATACAACGACTTACCACAAGGTTGCATGCACCACAACAAAGCAAATCTTGGTCCTCAACTACTGTCTCGCATCCTTCATCTGCGCAAATCTGATTGGCCATGATTTCCTGTACAACCATAGTCAGATTACGCTTGCGACGAGGTCGTGCTCCTGGTTCTTGCAAAGTTTCTTTCAAAAAAGTGTTTAGATTGGTTCAAGAATAAAATTGAGACATACCATCATCGACATTGAGTTCTTCAGCATTTTCTGGTGCTTCCAAATCAACCTCATCGACTTGCTGGATGTCAGACATTGCTATCGGATCAACAGCACCAGCCATCGCTTCTGAGTCACTAGCAATGGGATCTTCGTTGTCATCAGAACCTTCTGATTTGCTTTCTGAGGCAGAAAAGTTGTCGATGGCGCTGTCATCCAACTCATTGTTGAAGTCCCTAGTTCAATCAAATATGAGTAAAGACAAATTAACTCGAGGATATAACATACTGAAGTGCAAGCCGTGAACTGTGCAAATCTGAGATTGACAACGTTGGATCTTTTGACTTTGTCGAAGTCTTCATACGTGTACGTACAAGGTAAACTCCCTGCGTGAGAGTTCTTTCATCAGAACTAATACACCATATCGGTTCATAAAGGTCCGGGTTTGCGAATGGATGCCGTTCTGCAATGTGATCCTTGAGGTTGTATTTCCAAATGGTGGGTGAGTCCTTGGCGCATAGCGGACAAATGAGAGGGTGGTTAGTGCAAGGTTGAGCTGTGGTGAACTTCTCTGCTAATTTGAGTTTGATGTGGCACAGGTTTTGACAGCGAGACTTTGCCACGTTGATGCTCGTTGCAGCATCACTTCGAGTAATAAGATAAATCTCACACAACATACCAGTGTTCAAGCAAAAACCACAAGGATTCCTCGCGCCTTTGAAAGCCTCGTCGCAGAGTATATGGGCACCAATATGTTTGAGTAAATCCTGCCCTGAAAGTGATTTCGTCTTGATATTGGGGCAACGAGGACAAGATGGTGACCCATCAGCATGGCAAAGATCTCCGTGAGTGGTTTCCTTCTCACAAACGAAGCATGCTTGTCCTGAGTCATTTGTTAGAATATTATTTAGACCCAAACATTAGTAGATATACTTGCCAGTGGAAAAGAGTCAGAGATAGGGACAACCGGGAGAGAGTTGTGATCTTTGGATAGGCGCTTGTCCATAGTTGCGGCAATGGCATGAAGTTCAGCACTCTTGAAGACATAAGTCTCTTCACCAGTATTTCGACCATGGGATGCAAGTTGTCGGTCGGGGTTAACCTGTTGGACAAAACAACCCTCAAGGTCACAAAATACTCCTTTTGACTCAAAAGCTCCGTTCCACTCCCAATCCCAATCACTGCCTTGATGGTCGTCTGGTCACATGATAAGCCCGAGTTTCATGACTTGTCCTTGAATGCAAACATTTGGCTCAACGAGAAATAAAGGGGGCAATGAGGGAACCTCTTTCCCATCACGTTGAATACTGAGAACTTGAAAAACAGCCAAATATATGTGATGGTCACATTGGACAAGAGTTATTGCAGGGTCTTGAAGATAAAGACTGTCGTCATCCTCCGGTATAGGCACGAAAGGCGATTCGGGGGCACTAGAATTGGTGCTCTCATTGTATCGTGAATATCCATGCATGTGTTTGAGCCGGTCACGAGATTCCGTGAATGTGAGTGGGCCAGACAAGAGACAAAGGACGGATGATTTGTGGACCTTCTTTGCCGATGGATTCTTTGGGTCGATGGAGATGTAAGGTATTGGACTCTTGTTTTCCAGACTTTCAAGCTTGGCGGTTGCGGCAAGGTCATCAATATCGGGTTGGTTTTAAACAGACTCTGGGTCTGCACTCCCTGAGTCGGTAGTTTCAATGATAGGTGGAATATCAAACTCCTCTGTTTCATCACGCTCCCTGGCTCTCAATCCATCCACCAACACAACTTTCCCATTCCCAAAGGGGAGTAGAATGCCATACCCTCCCTCCCTTTCCATATCATCAAACAGGGGGGTCAATCCCAGCACTAACCAGGCAGTGCTCTGCATTTCGACGGCCCTCATTCCAACATCCAACAAGTACAACTTGATTCACATGAACATCACCCTTCCAAGACCACAGATTGGTGTGATCATATTTACTGGAGATACTGTCTGCATTCCCTTGAAGTGGACCAACACCGAGACGTCGAGCTTCACCACCCCACTCAGGATGAAGTTCAAGGATGTTGACACACTTCACAGCACCGTCAATACGATTTGCGAGCTGAAGAACATCAGCATTGGTGTCGTTCCCAACCATACTTTGTACCTTCCCAAAAATCTTCTCGAGACCGTCAGTACCCAAGAGAATGAGAAAGAACTTCCCGCTGGGGTTGTCGCATTGGGCTTTCGCAACACAGAAGTATGCGTTCTTGATCATAGCCATGAGGTTGAAATAAGACTGGACAGGGATGAAATCTCCCTTGTCTCGATTGTAGAGCGTGAGGACCAAGTGTGTCACACAGCTAAGATGAACAAGCTGCTGGTGGAGCGAGAGTGAGGTGTCGAGATATGCATTGAGTAAATTTGAGTACAGGTGTCTGAGAAGCTGAAGGGTATGGCGAATAGATTGAACAAGAGGGTTGTCTGCAGAAGTAGGTGGGGGAAGAGTTGAAATTGCATAGAGCAACTTGACCATGAGGAGGACATCTTGCTTGTCATTTGGCACAAGAAGGCTGTCAGCTGACACAGGCGACATTCCCGTTGAAAGGAGATGGGCCTTGATAACCGCAGCAGTAATTGAATGACCATTGATGTTGAAACCCTTCAAGCGGACAGCCATATTTCGCAATCTCTTCAATACATGTTTCCAGTCAAAATCCAGTGTTAAAGCATCAACACCACATTTAAGGTTGAACAGGGTGAGGATGGACAAAGTAGGATAGATGGGATTAGTCACGGAAAGGTCACCAATGAAAGTAATTTCGATGAGGGCTCATCGACGCCGTGAATCGCCATCTGTCTCGATGCAGTAAAGTCATCGGTTAGAGTTGGCCTGACTTGATATCAAGGCACTGCTGGCAACACGAATGAGTCGTTCTTGGTTCTCGATGGTCTCACGTTTACAGCTCCCAGATATAGCAAACGGTTTTGTTGTATATTCACTGGGCTCCTCAGTCAAGATACTCGCACCAATGACCGTCGCCTGTAGTAAAAGTATTCAGGAAAAATTAGGATTACGAAAATTGAGATAACATACCTCTTTGGCTAGATGAACAACCTCGTTTCTTAAACAATCAGCCACAGCGTCGGCTTGAATAAGCGAACGGAATTCAAGAGCACACTGATGGCTGTGCTCTCTACAAACACCGAGGATGTAGTCCGTTCGTGGTTCCCATCGAAGCCGTCCTTGAACCTTTAACTCATCTATCAACATAGATACTGGAAGAATGGGAGTGGTCAAATCTTGTGTGCCGGCTTTGGGATAACAATGTTCTAAGTTCGACATAAGTTCCGCTAATGTTGGGAAGCCTGGAGATGCTTGTAGTGGCTTTGAAGTGATATGTTGTTTCGTGGCATCAATAGAGGGTATCCCAAGTGAACGATGAGCAATATTGGCAGCAGAACGACCACCAAGCTTGTAAATTAAAAAAGCTTGCTCAAAATCCTGCTGAATGTATCCGCACGGGCTATACTTTCGCTTAGCCGCGTCATCAACCTTCTCGATAATTGAGAATACACTGGCGCCAGCATGAGTTTGAACAGCCATGAAGCTGCGAATGTGAGGGATATCCTCCTGTCCTAAGGCAGCAGAAAGTCGCTTCCAACCATCCAGGTGGCAATTTCACACTGCGATAGTAGCTGCATTATTGAGTGAACAAAGTTTGAGGTGATTGATTTGGCCATTCTTCTTCAAGAGCAACGTATGCATCTCAGCAGGCATGAGATACGCCCAAGGTGTATTTTCATGAGCGCCATCTAGGGAGCAATGTCGGATGCCCATAATGGTAGTGTCGTTATCGAGGCCTGAGCAGAACGTACAGGGGATTGGATTGACCTCCTTGCCTTTCTTGCTGGGTTTTCCATGGCCAGTGCATCGGATAGACTGGAGCACGAGCTTCTCAGTGCTTATGACAATTTTCCATGGCAAGTCCTTTGTTGTATGGAGGAGAAACGGATAGGAGGTGAAAGGTGATCAAGACTCAGGGAGTTTGAGCTCATATCCTGGGCATGGAACACTGGGCCTCGTGATTTCGCACCTAGTGGTGGGTGTATCGTCTTCGATTTCGATTATCTGGGGAGAAGTCGGTCTCAATGACACTTGGGACAGCCCTACAGTCTGTGCTGGCTCTGGGACATGTGGAACTTGGCTGCTTAAATGTAGACGTCAAAACTTGAGGTGTTTCCTGTTGAATGCGAATAAACAGCTTACACCAACTCCATAGCTTCAATGAGCCGCTGAATCTTTCCCTCGAGTAACGCTTCGCCAATATGAAGGTCCTCAACGCATGCCTTCACCCAATCATACATCCCGTCCATCCCAAATCAACCCTGTTGAATGATTGTCAAAAGACTTTCCGGTGTTGCTCCGTAGCTGACAAACCAATTTAGTACTTGATCTAAAACTTCCCAAGGCTCGTCATCTGGACCAATCAGTGCCGCCAGATTCCCCGAAAATGCAGCTAAGTCGTCGGAATCGATTCCAATAGGTATTACTAGGGGAAGAGCATTGATAGCTGCTTTAAACCTGTTAAGTAGTGTTATGGGAGTGCTTGAGACTTCTCCGAGTGTAATCGGGTGCGGATCATTGGGGAAAGGAGCAAGTTGAACAGGTCCTCAATTTGGTATGGTGGGGAAAAGATGAATGGGAGTAAGGGATGTACTGGTTGAACTGGAGGCGGTAGGCGTCACCTTCTTGGTGAAAAACAAACTGATTTTTGTGGTCAGAATGGCTGCAGCTTTGCAGACGTTCGTCTTATGAGCGGCGCTATCGACGTGTTTGGTCCAGTTCTTCTCACCGGTGAAGCTCAGTCCTATGGTGATATTGCACTCTGGACACCATTGAGTGCTTGATGTGTCGTACTCAGATGGTTCCTATTGATAGTTATTAATGGTTGGGCAAACCCTGTAAGTGGACATACCTTTTGGGGCCTTTTTGATTTTGGCATGGCAGATAGATGGTGGTGGTACAGCGAGGGTACCCATATATCTGAAAAAAAATTTGAGACATGGCGGAACAGAAGTAAATGTGTACGGACTCACCCATGCAACATGCTGCAATGCCAAAGCATAGCACAAAATCCGCTTGCAGACCATTGAGCTTCCGAAAGTTAGCACAAATTGCTTGACAAATTGGACATTTAGTGGGAGGAGGAGGAGGGCCAAAGGTAAGCAGTCATGTTAGAACGACGATGGCAGTGTGAACCTTGGTGTGAACACAGTTTGTTGAACTGGGCCGACCCAGCCACTGACGTCAGATGCGCCAAACGCGGATAAAATATGAAGCCAACAGCTCTCTGTGCCCCTACGTGGCCCCTACACTCATAAGAACTAGATAGATTGAGATACAGCAACTTTCTGGAGTCTCATAAGGCGAAATAGTCAATAATTTTTTTAATTCAGATAAGCGCCTCGACCTACCACCCCCCTCCCTACCCCATATGTCAGCAATTGCCGGTGTGTACCCCTTACCCCAGGCCTGAGCCCTTACCTAGTAGAGGGGGGACAATCAAGAGGATGTGGAGGTCGTTGGCTGGTAGAGGTAGGAATCGCTCTTGAACTTGACTGATCTGGACTTGAATGCACATATATTATTTGTATCTATAATTACACTCATTTGATAGAATTCTCCAACGTACATATTCCCTGGATTTTGTATTGGTGGTGCACAATCCTTGGTATGTGTGATGACCAGTGACATGCTGTGACAGAGCATCACAGGCCCAATTTCTTGAGACATTGACCTTGTACTCTCTACAACACCAATTCAATATATTTTTTGCAATGGGTTTGACTGAATTAAGTGAATGAATCCATTGAGAGAGTTTTCCATGTAGCAATTGCATTTATTGCTCCAAAAATGCGAAATCAGTCTGTTTTCCCTGCCAACTCAGGCAGTCTGAAGAGATTGGAATATAACTTTTCAACAACAGCATGTATGAACATGATTTGCAGACGGATTTTACTTAAAATTTAAATTCCAATCGATCTACAGGTCCATAAATTTTATTTGTGGCCCTTATGTCGAGATAGCCCTTAGGAATGGGTACTTTAACATGGTTAAGGGATAGTAATTAAAATTCTGGACCCGTAGGATTTAAGCCACATACTAATCGGTCATTTTGTCTCTGCAAACCTAAGCCCAAATCCTATCCATTGTGAAGCTCTATAGCTCGAGAGGCAACATTGGGCTAATAGGTGTTGCATAGCCACCAGAGTAAAATACACTGTTTATTCTTACACAACTTTATAGAGATCATCTATGCCATTCCAGTGCACTTTTCGTCATGTAAATCGGTGGAGAAATGACTGAGCTACATTGTCTACAAGTTTGAGCCGTCTGGAAAAGCGATCATGGAGGTCACCTGTATGCCAAATCGGAATGTGCCTGTTTTGGCCACCACTTTTCCAGACGGCTCAAACTGTAAAGGGGATCCTCAGAGTCGAC